TTACTAATGTTTTTTAGTTTAGTTACACTGTGTTCCTTCTCGTTCTAAGATTCTTTCTCTATATCTGCTGGTTAAGAAAGTCATTGGCTATAGTTCGCATTCCAGTCCTGACTCAGCTGAACTAAACCTCCTACAAATCTTCACATATTCGTTTTAAATAAGAATAATATCAGAAAAGAAAACATTTAAACAGTGCATATTGCTGGGTACCAGCAGCTAATGCCTGTAATCCTAGCTACTTAGGAAGCTAAGATCGATTGGGAGAACATAGTTTGAGGCCAGCCCAGCAAATAGTCCATAAAACCCAATCTTCAAAATAACCAGAGCAAAATGAGCTGGAAGTGTGGTACAAATGGTAGAGTGCTTGCTTTGTAGGCACCTGTTTTGCAAGCATAAAGCCCTGAGTTCAAACTCCAGTCTTATCAAAAACAGAAACAAAATAATGCCTACCTATCAACATTTGTATTAATAAGATGGGCTAGAATCAAAGACCTTAATGTTAGACCTAAAATGTTGAAACTACTAGAGTAAAATACAGGGAAAACACTTAAAAATGTAGGTATTGGCAATGATTTCTGAATAGGATTTCAATAGCTCAGAAAATAGTGTCAAAAAATTGACAAATGGAATTGCTTCAAATCAAAAAGCTTCTCCAAAGCAAAAGAAACAAATCAACAGAGTGAAGAGCCAGCCTACAGAATGGGAGAAAATCTTTGCCAGCTATTTATCCACTGTTTTAACATACAAGCTGAGTTTGGTGGTGCATACCTATAATCTCAGCTACACAGAAAAGTGGAGGATGGAGGATTGCAGTTTGAGACTGGCCTTGTACAAAAGAGCAAGATTATACCTGAAAAATAAATTAAAGCAAAAAGGACTGAGGGCATGGCTCAAGTGGTAGGATGCTTGTCTAGTGAGCATAAGCCCCTGAGTTCAAACCCTAGTTCTGCAAATAATAATAATAATAATAAATTTTTTAAAGGCCAATTATAGAAGACTGGTGAAATAAATAGCATAAAATGCTATACATCCACGGAAAATATTGTTTTCAAATAATCTTTAATTATATAGTCATGGCAAAAAAAAGGCTTAATTTGAAATAGCATGATAAATGATCCTAATTTTATTTAAGGGGGAATTCAAATATGATATATTTGATACATTGTAAGAACGTTTGTAAATGTTACAATGTACCCACACCCAGCACAACAATTTAAAAAACTTGAAAATAAAATATGTAATGCATATGTCATATGCATTGGAAAAATACTTGGGTAAGTTAACAATAATTACAGAATTATGAATGACAGTGGTAAAGTTATTGCCCATGTGTTGTCCAAGAAGCATTTACACCTTTTTTTTTTAAAGATACATTAAAGGTTTCTGGAGATGGCTGGTGGTGATGATTGTACCATAATACGAGTGTTCTTAATACATTGACCTGAATAATTAAAATGGTTATGATGGCAAATTTTATGTTGCATGAATTTTGTCAAAATTTTTTAAATTAGGAAAAGACATATCTTTAAAATTTTGAATGAATATATTTTAAGCTCGGAGAACCCATAGAATACCTCTAACTCAGTTCACTTAGACTCAAGAAACCTATGGAAAGGGAGGGGGTGGGGGCAGGGGGGAGAAATGACCCAAGCATTATATGCACATATGAATAATAAAAAAAATTTAAAAAAAAAGAAACCTATGGAACTATCTCTTGCTCAATTCACACAATTGGGCTTGAGTGTCAAATTTACTTTTTTCTGAGTAGATCAGAACTAGCTTCTTAAAAATTCCAAATCCATACTTAAAATCTTTGAACCTGGTCAATTCAGATTAGGTTTTTTCTTTCTTTCTTTCTTTTTTTTTGCTTGTTTTCCTATGTGCATTTCCCATTCTATATCCATTTGCTTAAACTTGGTTATAGTGCAAATTATGATTATGATGAGATTATTTATTATGACCTACTTAGAAGAAACAATAAGAAAAGCCTAAGACATAACAGATTGTATAGTTGAAAAGACCAAATAACCCTATATAATATAAAAGCACAAAATGATCTAAACTTATATATTAAGATGTGTGCAAGCTTGTCTTCATGGGTGTGACCTCTGCAATTACACAAGATTCTTCTCCCAGAATGCTTCTGCTTGGTTTAATGGTCTACTCTCATAGTCTTAAAGTTCTTAATAATTTTTTCTTTTAATGTATGTTTTATAAATGAAAAGAAGTGGAACAATAGAGCATGCACCATGGGCTTGGAGTCACTGCTCATGTGTGATCTATCTCCCACCAATCTCTCACCCAGGTAACAACTGGTTTCTAGGGAGTGGGGCATTCCACCTTCACTTTCCACTCCTGTTAGGGACCTGGGAGTATACGCAAGCAGTGGTGATCAGGGTTAGGTGTGTGCCAGAAGCAACTGGGACTTGGTGGCAGCACTCCTATTCTCAAACCTCTTATCTCAAACCAAATAAAAGTCTAAATCTTTAGCATGTCCTACAAATACTTACATAAACTGGTACCACTTTATCTTTCTGGTTTCATCTCCTATGTGTCTTCTCTTTGTTCATCTAGAAAGGTAAAGATCTACAAAGAGCCTGAGATTTTACTCCATGTATAAATTAATAAAGTTAGGTTATTAGCTTCGTGGTTGCTGATAGAAGACATAAAACTGTTGAGTCAGAGTTAAAGGATAATTTATTACTCACAGCAAGCATAGAAAAAAAGTAATATGACCTGGTTTCCCAATCCATAATTCCCACTGCATGATACAAAGAACCCTTCCTTTTTGTATTAGTCTACTATAGAAAACAAAGTAGGAAACAAAGCAGCTGTTTTGGCAAGGACAGTTTATGGACAAACTATCATTTTGATGCTGATAGCATGTAAGTATTGGGAATAAGTAAAATTGCTTCTTTAATTTGGGACTTGTCTTTTTAAACTACTTTAGGCCATCTCTAAATCAAGAATTTCAGATAATGAGCTGGGCATCATGGTACATGCCTGTAATCCCAACACTTGGGAGACTAAGACAGGAGGATTGTGAGTTTGAGGCCAGCCAGGGCTACGTAATTAGTTCAAGGCCAACCTGGGCTGCCTGTCTCAAAATAAAAAAGATATTTGTATTAGTCCCATGTCACTTGACAACAAGGATGTATTCTGAGAAATGTATCTGATTTTATTGTTGTGTGAACATCATAGAGTATAGTTGCACAGTTCTAGATGGCGTAAGTCAATCACTGGATTTGGCTTGATGCAATCAAGAAGCTCAGTGAGCACAAATATATGAGGCTGCTGCTGGCATAGCAGCACATTGTTTTATAAAGTAAATGCTTTAGTAAGTAGGAAGAGTGTATATACTCTAAGATTGTGATTAAAAAGTACAGTATAATAAATACCTAAAGCAGTTAACATAGTTTGCTATCAAGTATTATGTACTATACATAACTATATGTGCTATTTTTTTACATGCATGGCAGCACAGTAGGTTTGTTTATACTCGTATCATCATAAACCTACAAAGAATGCATAACGGTGACTACAACATCACTAGGTGTTAGGAATTTCTCAGCTCCATTATAATTTTTTTTTTTGTGGTACTGGGGCTTGAACTCAGGGCCTACACCTTGAGCCACTCTGCCAGCCCTTTTTTGTGATGGATTTTTTGAGATAGGGTCTGGTAAACTATTTGCCTAGGCTGGCCTCAAATGGCAATCCTCCTGATCTCTGCTTCTGGAGTAGCTAGGATTACATGTGTGAGCCACTGGCACTCAGCTAAAAGTCTACCATGGTATAAGTGGTTGTCATTGACCAAAATGATGTTATATTGCACATGAGTTCATTTAGAAAAGTAGTTATGAAAGTTAGTTTTACAAAGTAGCAAAATCAATTCTAAATGAATTTTTTTTCCTTTTTGAAGTACTGGGGTTTGAACTCAGAACCTTATGGTCTAAATGAATTCCAATTAAATACCTCTCCATAGCTTTTGGCACAATTTTTTCTTCATTGAGTTTTGAGAAAGCTATTCTTTTACACCTTAAACCTTAGACTGAAGCACCAAGACCTTTATAACTCTATCTTGTCAGTTTCTCTTATGGGACATGTATAGGTTTCTTAAAGTGTATTTAAATGTGCAACTAGGATGTTATTTCATCTAAGTGTTATTTTAAATTCAATAAATTTTAAATAGTTTAGATTGTAGGTAAAGTATTTCCTAAATGGAAATTGTTTTCATTTGTCACTTGACGAGCAAATAGGGACTTGAATTTGTCACTTGAATAGGAAAACCTTCCCTATTTAAGTGTTGCATGTACACTCTTGGGCCATACCAGCCTGAGTTAACATCCTTACTTTCTCTGCATGATGTCAAAGAATAAAGGAAAGAAAGGGCTGGTAGTAAACTGCTTGGGGGAGAGTCTGGAAAGGTGCAAAGGTCAATATAGCCCAAGTTATCTCCTAGGCTACCTAGTGTTCTATTCTCTGAGACTGTAAAAGTTGCCCATAGATAATGAGCTGGCACAGATACTCAACCTTGGAGCATCCAGGTGAGTAAATTTTTTTCTGAATTAAGATATGTAAGTTTGCCTAAGAACTGAAGGTAGTTATGTTTTTAAAATACTTGTTTCTCATACAACTAAAATTGCTAGCATGAACTCTAGAGAATGAAATCTACTGAGAAAAAGAAAACACACATTCTTAGCAAATGAAATTATGAAATAAAGTAGAATGAAATAGTATAACTTTTTCAGTTTAACTTATTTAAATAAATGAGCATTATATACTTCCTAAAATGTGCTTTTTAAAAATGGATTTTAAAGGGTCTATAGGATAATGAAAGGTTCTGGATTAGGAATCAAGAAACTTGAGTTCTTGTCCAGGCTCAGCCACTAACTTGCTGTATGACTTAGCCCAAGTATCATCATTCTAGGTCTGTTTTCCCACTAGTATAATGAATAAATTTGGCAAGACAGTGTCTTCTTATGTCTTAGGCTCCTTTTAAGCCTAATATTCCAACAAATGAACTCACAAATATACTGATTTTTATATATGCATATATGTGCAATTAATGATGCTGTAGATATAAGTTACAACAATGTAAACATTTATTACCCATAACAGCTGTTTTAGAAAAAATTTCATGTTTCAGTGATGTGTAATTGTTTTTATAGGTACATTCCTCTCCTTGAAAGGAGCTGTGCTAACATTTTCCTGTATGGACCAAGCTGGTGGGTTAATGCAATCACCCTATGAAGTTTGGCGAGATCCACACAACATGGATGAAAATGAAAAAACTTGGAGAAGGAAATTGGTCATGAACTCCTCCTCTTCTTCCCAAGAAACAGATCATCAGTATACAATAATCTGCTCAGAGAAACAAGCCAAAGTCTTCTCACTTCCTTCTCAGACTTGCCTTTATGTTCATAACATCACCGAGACATCCTTCATACTGCAAGCGGACGTGGTGGTCATGTGTAACAGTGCCTGCTTGGCATGCTTTTGTGCTAATGGACATATCATGATAATGAGGTATTTGCCTTCTTTATAAATTATCTGTTAACCACAATGCCAGCAGGGTCGAATCCTGAAAATTCTATTTTTATTATCAAGAAGCATTGTTTGTGAATGCTTTATTGTTAAACAATTTGAAGAGAGTTTGGGGATTTTGTGGGGTTTGGGTTTGTGGGGGGCTTTTTATTTTTATTTTGCTAAAAAAATACATGATGATGCAAATGAAATGTATTTTTAATTGACATCAAGGAATCTAAGGAAAGAGTGATTCCCCAGTCATTCATACAATCATTCAACAAATATTTATTAAGCATATGTTATCTGCCAGATGCTATGCTCACACTGAAATGAAGTGATACACTATTTTTACTAGTTTATAGTTCACATAAGATTTTTACACACAGAATTTCATTTGACCCATTTAACTTCTCTAGGACACAGGAAACTAAAGCATTAATTGCATCTTCCATTTTACTTATGTTAATAAATTAAAGTAAAATAATTTGTTTGAGGTTGCAAGTCTAGGAAAAAGTGAGGCCAGCACTGACTAAAAGTCATGAGACCCTGAAAATAAGGTATCAGCTGAGAGATTTCATTCTACTGTTAGTGAAATGAAGTAAAATTTGTGAGACATTTAAAATAGTAACTAATGATTTATTTCAGCAGTTAATAAACACTACATAGAAGTCACTATCATTCTTTTTAATATCTCATCTAATTCTGAAAGTCATTGAAATAGTTAAGCATTGTACTAGGCCTGTAAAAGATTTAAAAATTAGAAAAACATGGTCCTAACCCTTAAGAAACTTACTATCCAGTTGAGGAGGTAAGAAAGGAACACAAATTATAACGAAAAGAAAGTGTAAATTCCAACAGAAGTGAATTTTCTGTTGACAAACTAAGTTCCCAGGTTTCAAAGTTATATGATAGTTCAACATTTATTAAAAAGAAGAGTTGTTGAGAGGACAGTAACCCAGTGAGGTAGATTGTTGAGAACACATTGTTGAGAACCTTGAGTAGGTGGACAAAGGGAGACAATAAACTGGATTTTAAAGCAGGTATTAACCTTCTGTAGCTATGTGTTAGGAAATATAGAAGGTAGGAGAGCTTGGAACAGGCTTGTGAATTTAAGTGATAGCTATCTAGAATAGTAGAAGGCATAAGGAGGGAAACCTGCTGTGTACAAAGCTGATCATTTGTAAAAGTTAATAGAGATTTTTAATCTCAAGGCTAGAGGTTTAAAAATGTTTTTTAAAAAAATTTGAATAACTGATACTATCAGCAGATAGGCAAGTCAGGAGGATTTGGAAAAGCTGATAATGAGAAACTTGAGAAATTAATTGAAAATAAAAACTTGAAGTTTGAGGCATTTATAAGCCATACAGCAGAAGTTTAACAAGCAATTTAAGATCTTGGCTCTTAGAAAAATATGAGTCAGAGAGGCAGCTTTGGAAGTCTTTTATGTAAATGCATTTAGTATTAGTTATGACAGTAAATGAGATGATCAAATGAGATGATCAAAAAAAAATAGTATAAGAGCCAGGCATGGTGGCTTATGCTTATAATCCGAGGCATTCAAGGATTCAGTTGGAGGCCAGCCCAGGCAAAAAGCAAGACCCCATCACAACCAATAACCTAGGCATGGTGGTGTACGCCTGTCATCCTAGCTATGCTAGGTGTAAATAGGAGGATAGCAGTCCAGGTCAACCCAAACAGGTGAGACCCTATTTGAAAAATAACTAAAGCAAAAAGGGCTGGAGGCACGGCTCATGTGGCAGAGAGCTAGCCTAGCAAGCCCTGAATTCAAACTCTAGTACTGGAAAAAAGAAAATATGAAAAAGTGAGAAACAGACTGAGCTGACGATAAGAAACTTGAAGGTTATCTCTGCATTTGTACAGTGGAAGAAAGGAGAGCTTCCTGCAAAAGAAACTGAGAAGTCATCAGAGAGATAGGAAAAGGACCAAAACCTCATGAGATAAAAAGGAGAGAAAAGTATCAAAACAGAGGAGGTAGTCAAATACAGCAGAGGTCAAAGAATTTGAGTATAGGAACTCTAAAGTATTAGATCTCACAACTGGTTGGAATATTAGTTTGCTTTGAGAAAGCAAATCTGAGGAGGACAGTGGAAGCAAAGCTACCTTTCAAGGGGGCAAGAACACAGACAGAGGTACAGATCAGGAGTTAGCAAACTATAACCCACAAACCAAATCTGTCCCCAGTTCCTGATTCTGCAAGCCAAGAACGGTTTTTACATTTTTAAGTGGTTGAAAATAAAACAATATTTCATGATACATGAAAATTGTATAAAATTCAATAGTTTATAAATAAGTTTTTTAGAACATAGCCACACCACTGTTTATATATTGACTGTGACTCCTTTTGCACTATAAAGCAGAATTGAGTATTTGCACATTAGACAATATATGGCCCATAAAGCCTAAACCATTTACTATTTGATCTCTAACCCCTTTTATAGGTTACTCTTTTAGGAAATTTGGTAGTAAAAAGAGAGATGGGAGATTGGAAAGCAGTTTAAGAGTAAAAATAGGCTTTCCCAGTGTTTATTTTTATTATTTTTTAATTAGGGGAAGATGAATAGATTTATAAGCCAAGGGGAAGTAGTCAATGAGGGAGAAAATTTTGAAAAAAATAAAACCATTCCCTTACATATTTCTGATTCTTTCTCTCTTTATCTGATTTTCCTTTTCTCAACTATTTTTAAAGATTTCTAATGAAAGCTATTCCATTCTTGTTTGAATATGACTATTTAACCCTTAGACATGCCTCAGGGTTCTTTTTAAGTATACCGTTATATGTGTGTGTGTGTGTGTGTGTGTTACGTATACGTACAGTTATTTTGTCATAGTTGGAATGAGCTTGCTAAAAAATTGTAAAATTTTAGTATTTTTTGAGTTCTCAAATGGTATCATGTATGTTTCAAAATTAACTTCTATTTAAATGAATATGTGCTACCATCTACATTTATGTGATGAGAGATTTCTTAAGAAAAGAAAAACACAAGTTATTAAAACAATTGCCTTCTCCATTTTCCCATGCAATCAGAATGTAACTGTCACATGCCTAATCTCCTCAAGTTCTAGCTTCTAATAGATGGCAGGTAGCTAATGACTGGTTGTTTTGATCTTCATGTACCTGGACCTAGGAAAGCAAGTTAGAATATAGAGGATTTGTCTATAAATAAAATTTCAAACCTACAAGACACTTTTAATAAGAATGACCTTTAGTTACCTGATTCTATTTTTTAATAAAATATCCCCTTTTTTCAGTTTTAAGATTTTTTCCTAGCCCTTAGCAATTAATTTTCTCTTTCACCTTTCCTATCCTTTTCTTGTCTTATTTATATTATAAAACACAGACAATGTGCTGGCTCATCAGAAATATTAGTTGAATTCTTCCCAAACATCATCCAATGATTTGACTGAGTCTGTTATGGAAATCTGTTTCACTAAGGTTCAGACTTCTATTTTAAGGAACTCAGTTACCTAAAGTAAGATATATATGTTATACAGGTGGTACTGGGGTTTGAACTCTGGGTCTCACACTTGCTAGACAGGCGCTCTACCACTCAAGCCACTCCACCAGCCCTGTTTTTTGTTGGGTATTTTTGAGATAGGGTCTTGTGAACTATTTGCCTGGAACTAGCTTTGAACCATAACCTCCTGATCTCTGCCTCCTGAGTAGCTAGGATTACAGGCGTGAGCCACCAGTGCCTGGCACAGATAATTTTTAATATCTCTTCTTTCTAAGTCTTTGAAAAATTCAGAGAGTAATTTACACTTTCAGCACGTCCTAATTAGGACTAGCCAAGGATCAACTACTGAACAGTCATGCAGTATGGTGCTGAAACCTCAGGAAAGGATTATTTCAATAGCACAGATTTCAGGTCTCACTTTATATGGTAAAGTTTAGAGTTCAAAATGTAGTTACAAACTGTTTTGGAAAGAAAAATATCAATGCTATTTTTCATGTGCTGAATCTATGATATAGAATAATTTTAAATTGTGCCCATAGTATTAGTAAGATGGTTTCAAAACTTGTGATTTAATCACAAGGGTCTCCCCCCACCCCATTTCTCCTTAGCATTAGAGGTACGATTAAGCTACAATAAGAGTGTTTTCCTCCCAGTAGCTTGTAAAACTGGCTCCAACAACAGTATTCAAAAGTACATTTTGAGGAACATTTTAGCAAAATTATAGTTGCAGGATTAGGATAAGCATACAGACATAGAGTAAGGCACTTAAAATGTGTGGCATTCATTTGGATACAAATTCTGATCTGTTAGTTATTCTCATTTCCTTACAGCTTTGATCCTGTTTGTTTATTAATCATGCCCTCAATGCAGGTGCCCTGAGATATAGGTAATTTTCACTTCCTATGTATAGAAGGAGTAAATGAGTGGGGAGCAAAGCTACTCCCATTCCCAGGCACAGTTTACTGAGTCTGCCCTATGTCTCTATTGGCATAACCTCCTTAGACTCAGGAGAACTGCTTTAAGGAAAGACCATAGTCCAATTTTGCAATCAGATCCTCTCTAGCTGTGATGTTTCTTACATAATTAAAGACTCTAAATATTATATTAATACATGGAATGCTGCAAAAATGCCCTTGAGATTGCTGGCCCCTGCATTTAATTCTTCAAGGATATTTGCTAAGCATCTGTGTGGGTTAAGATACAATAACTTTGCTCATGATTTTTTTTGTACATGATTTTACGTGAAAGTCTATAAGTTTGGAAGCTTCAGAAGAATGAAAGGAAACAACCATAAAATAATAATTTAAATTTTCTATTTTTATGTAAGGAAATGCTTCTATCAACTTGAATATGAAATATGGATTTACTTTTTTCCATTCAGCCTACCTAGTCTTCGCCCAATGTTGGATGTTAATTATTTGCCACTGACAGACATGAGGATAGCACGGACATTTTGTTTTACCAATGAAGGACAGGCATTATACCTTGTCTCCCCTACTGAAATCAGCGATTAACATATAGCCAAGAAATGTGTGACAATCTACAGGTAAGTCAAGTGCATCTAGCTTTTAATTGAATATGGTTGTTAAAAGAGAGAAAATGAGAGAGATGTCTAAAAGCTAAAATATTGTTGGGTTGGAAAAATAAATATGCCTTTCCTAGGCACATGTTTTGAATATGTTCTTCATTGTGACTCTACAACTTCTATTATGGTTCTAGGTATGCACAAAAATAGTAAGAAAGAAAGAGGGACAGGTGTGAAGATCATTCATATTAACAATCTTTCTTTTTTTTTTTCCTTTGCATGCAGTGCTGGGGATCAAACCCAGGGCCTTGAGCATGCCAGACAAGTACTCTCTCACTGAGCCACACTCCAAGCCTTATTATAGTAAATCTTTTTATTTTATTGTTTGCTTTTGCTCATGGAAATCTTCTGAAAGATTATAAACTCTCATGTCAGGATAAGAAATGTATAGGTACACACCCCAAAAAAACTCATCCTTTTTAGGGATTTTATGGACTTTTTGAGGAAACTTTGATTTTGACTAAAGGTTCCACAAATAACTATATATCCTATGGTAAGAACTGGGCATTTGTCTTTAATCATAGCAGTAAAACATGGCCTAGAGGCAGGATAGACAAAAAAGCTTATCTAATCTTGGATAAGTAAGAATATTTACAAAATTTTAAAAGAGCATCTTAGAGATTTAACTGATCCAAATCCTTCATTTTACAAATAAGAAAACTAAAACCCATTCATTATAATATATAGATTAAGAGTATAAACTCTGAATTATTTCTATTTTATTTTGGCTACCCCTTTTGTATAACTTGGGCATTTTACTTAACCTACTTATATTTGCTACCCTGGAGCATTGTTATTAAAATTAAGTAAGAATTCATTTAAAGCACTGATCATAGTGCCTAAACATACACATCTTGTATTATTATCACTGTTATTGTTATTCAACAAATATTTATTGAGTCTATATTGTATGTCTTGTACTTGGCTAGGCACTAGGAATATAATAATAAACAATATGCATGTCCCTGCCTGCTAATATACAGAGAGATAAACAGACAACTTCAGTACTCTGCCAGACGCTATCTATGTGGTACCGTGAAAGAGGCACTTGGGTTGATGAAACAGAAGAGAGGGGAGTTACAAAAGGATTGTGGGCACAACTGACTTCTGAAAGGTGTCCAGGCGAATGGCTGGGAATAGAAAAAGTAAAGATAGTCTAGGCAGAAATATGGCACGTGAAAACTTCAGGATCCAGGAAACTACCAAGAAAGTGCCAAGCTGGGAAGTGAGGAGTGAAGGAATAATGTTAGTCAAGAATAGATCTTGGATGTCCAGGCAAAATGGCTCTTGTAATCCCAGCTCCCCCAAAGGCAGAGATCAGGAAGATCAGGGTTGAGGTCAGCCCAGGCAAAAACTTAGGGAGACCCCACACACACCAGGGTCGGGGAAATAAAGCAAAAAAAAAAAAAAAAAAAAAAGTCTTAGGGAGTGGCTCAAATAGTATAGCACTTGCCTAGCAAGTCCCTGAGGACTAGCATTTATCCCAAGGGCAACAGGAAGTCATTTAAAAGCTTTAGCAGATTTTCTTATTAAAAGAAATATTCAAAAAAAAAATATTCTGGTGATAGTATGGTGATTAGTTCTGAGGAAGCAAGACTGAAGGTAAAGGGAACAATTATGAGGCTCTTTTAAATAAAGTCTAAAAGTAACAGTGACTTGAACTGAGGAAACTGGCAGTGAAGATAGAGAAAAGTTAGTAGATTCAATCGTTTTAAAGTATAATCCATAGGATTTGTGGGTTGTTAGACATAGGAATGAGAGAAAGGAAGGAATTGTTCTGACTTGGAGAACTAAATAGATGGTGCTGCCATTTCCATAGAAAGGCCTCAGAAGGAAGAGTATGAGGTGGGGAAATGATGAAGTTAAATGACAAACTAATAATACTAAGCCACAGATCTCCTGACTCTTGGTCTAAGTTTCCTCCCACATATTGATGATTCTTAAACATTGGACTGCTTTCAAGATACCTAGAGAGCCAAGTCTGGCAAAAATGAATATAACCAGAGCACATCTACATAGATTCTGATTAGTATTTGTGAAATGCAGCCTGAACATCCCACATTTCTAACAAGGTATTCCCCTCAGTCATTCTAAGACACCAAATATTGAGAACAATTATACCTCACCATGTCATAATTGTGTCCTTGATATAAAAATAGGTCCAACCTTCTTCCATATGCCACCAAAGGCTTCTTATTTCCTAGTCCATGGTTTGTTCAGGAAAGGGAACCAGGATAGGAAAGAGACTGTGGTAATTGAGAAAGATCCAGATATCTAAATTAGCCATCATTGATATAGGAGGAAATTAATACTAGGGTGAATATATTAACTTTCCATGCTTCCTGGAGTAGAGAAGAGAAGAGGATAGATAAAGGAAAATTTCAGGATGTCAGTTACTAGAGAAGAGAAGAAAAAGGAGATGGAGAAAGAAATTTCAGAGAGAGAACTATTACCAGTAAAAGATACGGCAATCAGACTGTCTTTTCATGAGTACTATAACAACTACAATGTTACCTTTTTATCTACTAATTTTTTCTTGGTTGCTCTAATGCTTTTTTTCTTTGAATTTGTTGCAGGATATGCTGGGAGATTTGTTTACTCCCATAGAGACACCAGAAGCTCAAAATAGAGGCTTTCTGAAGGGATTGTTTGGTGGAAGTGGACAAACATTTGACAGAGAAGAGCTCTGTGAGTACATTCCTGATTATAAAATCTACCATAAAAGACCTGTTTCTGTATGTGTGTGTGTGTGTGTGTGTGTGTGTGTATAGCTTAATATAATATGTGATCTCAAAGTCTAGAGTAGGTGTTTTTGCTCTTATCTTAAAGTTTGACTGTTCATTTCCTTCTGTACTGTAAGAATTATTTCTGTTTACCAGAAGTGAGTAAAATTAGTTACTTTAATTGGGAAATAAGTTTTAGCAGAGTGGAACATATAATTCAAACAAATAATGAACAAGCTAGTAAGTGTCTCATTTGCAGATGGATCATACATGCATAGCAAGGTGAAGATATTCAGTTATTGAAGTCTGAGAAAAAATTAACCTGCCTGCCTGTAATCACTGCTGGGAAACATATTTTTTATTCAGAATGCAAGTTTATCAATACCACAGAACAAACTATTTTTAAAAATCTACTAGTGAGACACAAACAATAATCAAAAAGCAATAGGAACACACTAGGAAACATTTTCAGAGAGAAGATAATACATGCTTCAGCATACTGCCACCATTTGGTCTTACAGATTGAAACTCTCTTTCTTTTGAAATTTTAATTATGCAGAAAGATCTAGGTGCCACCATACAAGGGAATATTATTTGACCATAAAAAGGAATAAAATATCAATACATAGATGACCTTCAAAAATATCATGCTAAATCAAGGAAGCCAGACAAAAAGGCCACATATTGTATAGTTTCATTTCTTTGAAATGTCCAGAATAGACAAATCCAAAGAAGCTGAAGGTAAATCAGAAGTTGCCTGGGGTTGGAGCAGAAGAGAATAGAGAGTGGCTGCCAATGGATACAGGGCTTCTTTCTGGCATAATGAAAATATTCTAAAATTAGATAATGGTGTTAGTTGCACAAATTTGTGATTATATTTAAAAAACAATGGATTGTATACTTTTATGGCATTTTGTTTTGGTGACAACCTTCACTACTTGAATTACTGACAAAATGTTTTAAATTGCTATGGCTTGAATTCCCAGTTGGGGAAGCTTCAGCAGGAAAAGCTTCCCGCAGCCTTGCACAGCACATTCCTGGCCCAGGTGGTATAGAAGGGATGAAAGGTGCTGCTGGAGGGGTGATGGGAGAGCTGACCCGTGCCCGGATTGCCCTTGATGAAAGAGGACAGAGACTGGGGGAGCTGGAAGAGAAAACCGCAGGCATGATGACCAGTGCAGAAGCGTTTTCCAAACATGCACATGAGGTAAACTGCCTAAGAAACACAGGCATTTCCATGCAGTGGTCGTTTAAACGTTTAGGTCCTGCACAAGAAAGCTTATACAGAGATGCTGCATGAGTAATCCTGTGTAAAAATCAGGGCAACTTGGATCTGTTATAAGTATTATAATTCCCCCTACTTTGGGGAGAAAAATGTTTAAATATTGTATTTACTTCTTCACCTTAGGGGATAATTAAATTATCTGTTGGTTTTGATACACTTGGTCTGTATTTTGCATCACCTGCTAGAAAAGTGTGTAGGTAGATTATGAGAGTCCTGCAAGGTGTCATCCATGTTGTGTCAGTCATTAAAAATCATTTCCTCTCACTGAGTCTGTACAGCCTGAGTGTATACGCACTTTGTTTCACAAAATAGAAGCCTATGCAATTTTATTATGTTTTGAGATTTAGATCCATATTATTTTGCTTTAAATAGCACTTTTAAGATTTTTTTAGCATCTTATGATTGCTATTTTTTTCTTTGCAGTTAATGCTGAAATATAAGGATAAGAAATGGTACCAATTCTAAACTTGTAAAGAAGCTGTGACTCTTCGAGAAACCATTATTCAGGGAAACCAGATTAATTCCCAGCATCACTATTCAGCTGCTCAAAGCCAGTTTCTTCTACAAATGTTGCATTACAGTCCATCTGAAGTTGTTGTAAAGGAGATTTTTCGAAGACACTGCATCCCAAAGGCTGGAACCCTGGGTAAAATTGCAAGATAATGGCAGAATCTACCTTTGCCCTTGTGGAATGGAGCTACCATCTTGGCATGTAATTTCCTAAGGATTTACACAGAAACTATGGGGAGTCTTTTTGATTTGAAATTTCCTGTACAAACAAAAGCATTAATGCACTTAATGAAAAAATTTTTGCATGATAAATTAACATCTTAAGAGAAAAAGAAAAAAAAGCATGTTGTGACAGAAGAAAAAAGATTTATGGTAAACTATTTTTATAAATTGGGCCACACCCAACAATTTAAAAAAATCAGCGTTAGAAATAACAACGCATTTCTAGTATATTCACCATACCAACTGAAAAGAAAACAAAACAAACGTTTTCTTCTTATCTGTAACTTTCATTATTCTAAAACATCATTGAATTCAAATGGCAAGAATCTGTTTAACCTTTTTCTCTCTCCATAGTATTTTACACCATTCACAGTTCTCATTCATAAAGTATTAACAGTATAGTAAAATATTCTCAACACAGTTATTTCCATTTCTGTCTCCAGAATGGGTTGCTATTTTTAGTCACAAACCAGGAGGGTTGGGTCACCTCAAAGCATTTTTTCAGCCAGGCTAGTGCTCTACAGGGGAGTTGGTGATGCTAAGTTTGGGGATAACTAGACTTTAGGACAATGCAGTTTGCTTTGAGAACTGATTTCACAGAATGAAATTTTTCACACATTCGGATTTCAGTTTCTAAAGGGATATATTTTTTAAATTTCATTTATATCCTTGTCTGCCAATTACACAGTATATTACTGTTCAAACTGGATAGGATCTACAATCCCTAGGTGCTGTTGCAACCTAACATTCACAGACCAAACTGGTCATTCTCTTTAGTGTGATTCAGTAAAACCTCAATTAATGTTTTGGGAAAGGGATTCTGATTTATTACTTTCTGATTAATAAGGGCTTGCATTAGAAAATACTTTGGTTCAATGCATATTAATGGAACTCTTGTAGCTGTCTTGGCCTCAGTTATCATTATAAACAACAGAAATACTTTGATCATTTAATGATACAAAATAAATAATTTTGTCACTATGTTGACAAACATAATCCATGAAATTATGTCACTAAATACCAAATATCTATTTCTCTCAAAAATGAAGATCCTTAGATATTATTATATATTATTACATAAAAGTTATCTGTCATAATCCAACAGAGAAGTACTAAAGACAAAACAAAATGACACCTATTATAGCACTATTTAACTTGATTCCAAAAGCCATATACACACAAACACATATACACATATTCTAGGACCCATCTTGTAAAAGTCATTCCCTAAAAAAAACTTTTCTTGAGTTATGGGCTTGGCTTATTGGATTTACATTTGTATTTCTTAATAAGTCATCATTTTTCTGGAGTCCAAGTTATTTTAATAGCCAAAATTAGCATTTGTTTAGGGGTCTTTTGTTTGTTTGTTTATAGTGATACGTCCTTCAAATTTTGAAGAGAAAAAAATGATTAAAAGAGAAAATGTATCCTAGGATAGTATTTCTCAGAGTCCTTGAATTCTCCTGATTTCTCAAAATTGTCTCTCCATGAATCTCTCAGATTCCTTTAAAACCTTAGGGGAACAGAACCTTGCTTGGAAATACAAACATGACACAAAATTATACAGTAAAAATATTTTTTAAAAACTTGAGGCCAGGATCTAGAAAACATTGGTAGCCAAATTGCAATACACTCATTTGTACCATCAGTTTAAAGCATCCAGGTTTCTAATTTTTCTGGATAAATTCTTTATTATTTCTACATTTTAAAAGTAACCTAAAAGAGTGAGTAAGACTTTATTTTTTAATAGTGAGTTTACTTTTGAGATAGCATTAAATTCAATGACTATCTCTGATTTAACTTGATCTGAGCTGGCAGTGTAGCTTGGTGATAGAGTGCTTGTTCTATGTACAAGGCCCTGAGTTCAATCCCCAACACCACAAGCAAACAAACAAACACACAAACAAAAAGACCTGTTCTATGGCAAGGCTTCTCATAGCACCACTATTAATGTCAAAATTCTTTGTTGTAGAAGACGTCCCATGTAGATATCTCATCTACTGCTAGATGTCTATAGGATCTCCTAGTAATGACATTAAAAAATGTCTCCTGCTATTGCCCAAATTGCTCCCAATTTAGAGCCACTACTCTCCATCATTTAAAAAGATGGATTATGAAATTTGCAACATATGTCCTGTATAAAGCTGTACCTAATAAGTACACATTGACCAAGATCAGTCATTTTTCCCAAAATTACATGTGTGGTTCATATGCAATAAAATACAATTTTAGAGAAAACTTCTGTGAATCTGTGAAAATCAATAATTATAGAATATTTCAAAGCACACAGAAACTATCAAAAGGAACATTACAGCATTTCACAATAGAAGTGCTGAAAAATCTGGCTTCAGTAAATAGTTCAAATGTTTATAATTAACACATCATTTGGCAGTAAATAGGTGCTTCTGAAATGCTTGAAAAGAACAGGTTCCTCTATGTGCTTAAAGTTTAAATGTGCTTACAAACTGTTTTTAGAAGCCCTTTCTTAATGTAAAGGTAACTGCATCCCACAAACCCCTGATTAATGGAATCCAAATAAATGAGGTTTTACTGTATCAAAATTATTTTTATAATTCAAAGAGATAGCAATAACAAGATTCTAATGTAGATGTGATTTTTCTCTTTGAACACTTCTGTTGCACTGACTGATCTTAGCATACACACACACACACACACACGCAATCACCACCACCATTTTATCATTATCTCATCTTGGGAAAATGAGTACTGTTGATCCATGTAATCCTTTACACCTTCTTACCTTTCCTCTATCTTGGAACATAAGAAAAACACTCCTAGTAACTTTAACAGTGATGCAGAAGATTACCCTGAGCCTTGGTTATCATCAGAATTACATTATATTTGTTAAGATGGCAATCAGAAGATAAGGCTTACAAACTACAGTCTGAACAGGTCTACTCTACACTCCCGCAAGAGATAAACCCTTTTTAGTGTTGCAGCAAAAAGCGGACCTTTCCATTCTATTCATGAATAAGAAAATAGAAGTATTTGTTTCCTTGCTTCTGATAATAATGAGAGCAATAATTTTACCATGAAATCATCCACTTATCTTGGGATTTGAAAGAAGATAATTGACTTACCATTTATTGTAATCCCCTATAAAAGCTTCATTGAACCCCAGACTTTATATCCCAATTACCATCAGACTGTAGCTTTGGATGTACAGTAACAGAACCGAGTGAGGTGCTTTCTAGTAATTCAGTCATAAAGACAAATTTTCAAATCTTTTGGAATTGATTCTCAGAAAAATCAAAATCTGGGTCTCTTTTCCTCAAAGTTTTTATGGGATCTTAAAGGAAAAAGATACCTTTTATATGACCCACATACATAGTTTAAAGGTACCATGTATCCATTACTTACATGACTTTGAGAGAAAACAAGGAATAAGATTAAGCCTAAAACTGGCTGAAGAAGATGAAGGTAGGTTCTTTGAGGTAGTTGTCTATAGAATGTTTGGAAAGAAGGAAAAATGCATCTGGTCTGGAAAAGTAAACTAAAAATCCTCTTCTTGGTTTAGAATCACTGGGACAACCCAGGAGTTTATATGTCATGGGCTGTCCTGTGAGAAAAAAAGAATACTGTACCCTGACCAAAATGGTTCAGAGAAGACAACGCCAAAGAGAGCCAACACATCATATCAGGCCTTGCTCTCTATGTTAGGAGAAATCCAGTAGCCTTCATAGCTTTTTCACCTGTCTTGACATCCAGGTCCATTTTTAGCTGGGCAATATTTCATGTGTGCACTGCTCAGAGGGCCAGAAATACTTGTCACATACTTCAGTTAAACATTCTCTCTCATAGGGAGCATGGTTGTCAGCATAAGGAGTTTAGCATGTGTACCTGCAGACCACATAGACCTGAACGGAAGAAATGCAGGATAGAGAAGGTTTTACTTGGAAAATAGGGAGGGAGTGCCAATGTTGTGCAAGAATGTTGGGGTGAGTGGGGACACGGGAAGTGGGAGAGGCTTTGATGAGGAATCAGAAGCACAAATGGATGCCTTTATTTATATATTTATCTAGAGGAGTGATTGTCAACACAACAATCATTTCAGATTTTTAAATTCCTAACTACGTAAGAATTCAGAGTGAAATCAGTATTTTTGAAAGCCCTGCTTTATGGTCAATGCAAGAAGACATGTTTGTCTACTTTGGCTGGTGTCTCAGCCTCACTTCTGAGGGGTCAGGAAAGGCTTAATGTAAGACATACAGTGTTGCCTGCATGTGGTATTTACTCTGTACCTTTCACAGTACAAAAGTGTGCATGACTTTTTGACCAGGCAGCACCCCATTAACTCTCAATACTTGCCCATTAGTTTTTCCAAGTCAGACTTACAACTTTTGATTGTCTTTTACATATGACATCAGAAGATACTAAAAATATCACACTAAATTCAACAACATATAAAACAAAGTAGAAAACTAATTCTTAATGTTTGAATAGTAGAAATTCTCAAAATAATCATTTACTAAATCAAGTCCAAATTTATTATTCATTCTTCTTTTGGATAGGACATGGGTACTAGGTACCTTTCTGCAATAGGTATATTTTAGTCTACTTGATCTTAGCAAAAAGGGAGAACAACTCTTCCTTTTTGATTATTGTCTCAATCAGAAGCTCCCAGGGCCACTTGGATTTATTTTCTTAGTTATTGGAATGTGCTTAAAAGGAAAAGAATGACTGTAATTTACTATCTGACAACAGTGCCCTGA